CCTCCTATACGTGCAAACATATGATATTTGTCCTTCTCTGCCTGACTTAGTTCACTCAGCATAACACCCTCAAGGTCCATCCATGTTGCTACACATGGCCAAATTTCATTGTTTCTCATTGCCATGTAGTATTCCATGGTATAGATAAACCACATCTTCTTGATCCATTCGTCCGTGGATGGACACTTAGGCTCTTTCCATGTTTTGGCTATTGTTGAGAGTGCTGCTATGAACATTGGGGTACATGTGCTCCTATGCCTCAGCATTTCTATATCCCTTGGGTAAATTCCTAGCAGTGCTAAAAAATTTTTTAATAAAATAATAAAGTAAAAAATAGTCATTTATTGTGCTCACAAATTTTCACTTGGTCAAAACTCAGGCAGGGAAGGTTAGGCTCTCTGCTCCACATGGGATCACCTGGGACAGCTATACTGAGAGCTAGCAGATTTGTTTCCAAGGGGCTCACACAAGTTGCAGACAAGTTGGTACAGGCTGTTGGCTGGCAGCTCGGCCAGGGCTTAGGACTAAAGTCCTTAGTTCTTCCTGTTAGACCCCTTCATGTGGCCTGAGCTTTTTCTTAGTATAGTGGCTGTTTCTAACAGTGAGCCTCCTAAAAAGAGCCAAGTAAAATCTCCATTGCCTTTTATGACCCAGCCTTAGAAGTCATATAGCATTTACTTCCACTATACTGTATTAATTGAAGCAATCACAAGGCCCACTCGAGTTCAAGGGGAGGGAACGTAACTCCACCGCTTAATGGGGGAGTGGCAAAGTTTTGGAAGAGCAATTTGGATGGAAAATATTGTTACTCTTTGAAATTACCTACACAAGCCTGGTCTGACATAACAGCTAAAAAGCAAAGCCTAGCAATGTCAGCACAGAAGGATACCAAATTTGTTGATAGAGTGTATTAGATAGAAACATTGCTTGGCGCGCCTGGGTGGCTCAGTCAATTAAGTGTCTGACTTCAGCTTCGGTCATGATCTCACAGTCATGTGAGATGAGTTCAAGCCCCATGTCCGGCTCTGTGCTGTCAGCTCAGAGCCTTGGAGCCTGTTTTAGATTCTGTGTCTCCTCCTCTCTATCTGCCCCTCCCCTGCTCACACTCTGTCTCTCTTTCTCAAAAATGTTTAAAAAATTTTTTAATTAAAAAAAAGACAATCTTAAAAAAAATCAGAAAGCTTGAATAACCACAGAGGAAATAAAGGGTAGTCAAATATCTAAAAGAAATGCTAGACTGCTTCATTAAAGAAGAAAAGTTTAGGGGCACCTGTGTGGCTCAGTTGGTTGAGCACCAGACTTGATTTCAGCTCACATCATGATCCTGGGATCATGGGATCAAACCTTGCATCAGCCTCCACGCTGAATGTGGAGCCTGCTTGAGATTCTCTCTCTCTCTCTCTCTCTCTCTCTCTCTCTCTCTCTCCCTCCCTCCTTCCCTCCCTCTCTCCCTCTCTCAAATTAAAAAAAAATGTATGTGATTATCTCAGTAAATGCAAAAAATACTAATAAAGTTTAACACTCATTACTGCCAAATACCCTTAGTGAACTAGAAGCAGAAGAAAATTTAATATGAAAATGTTTATTGGAAAATTATAGCAAACATCATAGTTAATGTGGAACATTGGGAACTACTGGGAACTTTCCCATTAAAACTAGAAACATAAGTATACTGATAGCACTGTACTAGAGGGCCTAACAGATTAATTAATGCCTATAAATAAAGAGGGAGAGGAAAATATTACGCATTTTCTGCAGACAATATGATGTAGAATATTTAAGAAAATCAACTGGTAAACTAGTAGCTCTGATAAAAGTTTAATATCAATGTGGCTGGATATGCAATTAGCCTATTTTTTTAAGTTTTAGGAGTCCCATGATACTTCTCAAGTCAGGTGGTTTACAAGAATGATTCATAAGACTTACTAGCAGGCTATTCTCACAGCTAAGGCTTTATTACAGCAAACGAGTAAGAGCAGAACAAAAATGTGCATTGGGTGAAGTCCAGAGAAATCAGACTTAGGCTTCCAAGTCTTTCCCCTCCTGGGACCACACAGGATACACTCTTCTAGCAGCAGACTGGAAGGATATGTGAAATCTTTCCCAAGGAAGCTCACTCTGGTCCAAGGGTCTGAAGCTTTTGTCACAGGTTGGTTACATAGGCAACTCTTTTGTCTACATGACCATCCATGATAACTGATACTCGGGACCCCAGCAGTCAAATGAGGTACAACATCAATCTTGGTGTTTGCGCAAAGCAATCCTGATAAAGTGGTCCAGCATCATCCACTGTTCAGGGCATACAGAACATTATCCAGGAACATAATGAACCTTCTGAAGGCCGTATTCTTAGTGGTCGGCCAAGGATTAACAGGGTCCTAGG